AAAACGAAAAATTTTCATATATTTTTGGTCTTTTCGTGATGTTTTCTTAACATCATGGAAAGTAGAAAATAACATGGGACTACAAGACGTCTAAAAACCGCCACGAAAGGGTCGAGTGCATTTTTTGTGTGAAAATATGGATATTTACAATTTTTTCGTTATTTGTAATGTTTTTTTAAACGTCACCAAAAGTAGGAATAAACATGGGATAACATACGTTTAAAAACCATCACGAAAGGGTTGAGGCACAATTTTTCGTTATTTATAACATTTTTTTGATCATCATGAAAAGAAGAAAAAATGTTGTGGTTCCATGACGGGTGGAGCGAGTTTTTGGTAGGAAAAGACAAACAATATTTGTGTTTTTTAAATGTTACAAAAAGTCAAAAATTTTGGGATTGTATGAAAGTTAAATAAAGGTCACAGAATGATATGACGCGTTTTTTGCAAGAAAGCGGGATGATTAAAGCACATTTTTCGTTAATTTATGACATTTTTTTAAACGTCACAAAAAGTAAATAAAAATTATGGAATTTCATTATATTAGAGAATGTCGTAAAATATTGAGTGTATTTTTTGAATGAAACCATGGATATTTATGGATATGGGCTTCTTGCTACTTTATGAAAATTTTTAGAGATAATATGTTCTGGGGCGATTTTAGAAACTTATTTATACAAATGTCTAAAGTTTTCTAATTTTACAAGATTGTAGGACTTTTTTTAATTTCGATTTTACCCTTATTTATTACATTTACATTTATTATAGTTATTTGTTTTTTTGAAATAAAAAAGATTTAATTCCATAAATTATTATCATAATCATTGTGGGCCCTATACTAATTTTCAACACAAATCCCTTAATTCACTCTTCAAAACTTTAATTCACTCCTTCAAAAAGATTGATTTTCTTGATTTACTAAAATTAATTAAGGGACAGGGTAGGTTGAAAATTATGTCGAGAACTATGTGAGTTTTTTTCCATATAAAGTTCATAAAATCATTGTTAGCAACTCACTCTCTAACCATAACCCTAACTCACCCTCCAAATACAACCCTCGATATATCCAGATATAAACTAAATTCCATATAAACTTCCTGAAATCACTGTTAGCAACTCACTCTCCAACAACAACCCTCGAATATATCTGGACATAAACTAAATTCTGGATATATCTGAAGAAAAAATCTAGTCTTCTTCTCAAATTGATTGAGAAGAAGTAATAATGAAGAAAAAGAATTGGTCACATGGATTGTAGGTGGAAAATCCAGAAAAAAAAAAAAGAAAAAAACTTTTAGAGTAAAAACCACCGTCGATGATATAAAAGTTTCCCTCAGTAAAAATATGTTTTACAAACTTTCTCACTCATGGAAAATGAAATTTCTCTATTTTTATCTCACGCTTTGGCTGACTTGAAATTGGGGATTTAAAATGGACCCATCAAGTAAATTTTTACCACCATAGATTTGCAACATATCGATTTTGGACAAAGTGTAAGGTCTAGTGGCCACGCTTTTGCGACATATTGGCCTGGGACAAAGTGTCAGATCTAGTGATCACATTTTTGCCATCTTGGCTTTGAATAAAGTGAATGATCTCGTGATTACAAATTTGTCACATATGTTACTTATTTGTCTGCTAGGTCATTCGAGGATCAACATCAATTAAACTTGTCGGCATGGCTACCTTTGTCAAGTTAATCAGCCAGGTTTTATCTTTTATAAGATTTTTATGCAAATCTACCGTTCCTTCAATTTATCCGGAACGAAGTGGTATTGCATTCGAATATGTTTTGATTTGGAATGGAAAATTGGACGACAAAGACAAATGGTAAGATTTGACAACTAAAGCGCTACAAAATTTTTTTACTATTTTTTAAATATAAATATTATATTATTGATGACTTTTTAGAAGAAAGTTGGCGTTGACATCTTCACTGACCTAAATGAAAACTGTTTTATTGCAATAAGACATAAAAATAAAAACAACAAAAAAAAAAACAAGAAGGATCTAGATTCTATATACATCCTTGATGTCTTCTTAGATCTTGCCCCATATCACATGGACTCTCTTCCTTATCCTTTCTAACACATTCATCTTTTCTATCTTGGGCTTTATAAATCTATTTTTTTTAGAAGAAACATTTAATTAGAACTTCTTTCAAGAGTTTTGATTAAAAAAATGTCTCTCAAAATTACTTTTTTCAAAATCATCCTTATATTATTGCACAGCAAATCATCTTGATATTTGATTATGCATATTATTTTTAGTACTTTTTAGTCAAGCAGATACCAAAAACCCTCTAGCACGCCATTTTTTTTTTCTTAGCATCAAAATATAAAAATTTATTATAAAAAGTACTTTTGATCGAGACAAAAAACCATGCAAAAAGCACTTGCAAATATAGTGTTAAATATTATGAGATCGACGATAGTGTTAGCTACTACACTACAATTATTTTGTCCTTTATAAAAACATGTTAACTTTCAAATATAAATTACCTTTGCATTACGTTTAAGCAACCTCACCAATAAAATAGCGATAGTGAGAGATATTTTCAGGTAAGGAAAATAAAAGAAAATTTGCAAAAGAAGCTAGAAAAATATTAACAAAGTGTTCAAAAAACATTTTTGGATTAAATTTGGTAAAGCATAAACTTTTTTGGTTTAATTTTTACAATTACGTCGTGGTTTCCATTATACTTCTACGTTTATAAAATATAATAAGACCGGAAGACAAGTCGTATGTGGGGCATCCGATTCTCTAATTAAATTCCGCGTCTCGTCTCCAGTCTTCTCCACCAACTCCTCTCCTCTCCGATCTAATCCGCAAAAATCGTCCGCTCCGGACGTCGCACTCCGATCCAAAAAATGTCTACGTCGGAGAACAAGAAGCCGCCGTCCTCCTCCTCCAACACGGCGGCTGATCTCGACGCTCCGCTTCACGCCATCGGATTTCAGATCGAACACGTATCGCCTCACAGAGTCAGCGGCCGTCTCCCGGTTTCCCCAAATTGCTGCCAGGTAATTGATTCTCAATTCGATTCATTCGATTTTGCGTTTTTGCTTTTTGCGATTCTCAATTTCTGATTCTCCGTTTTGCAATTTTGTTTGATTAGCCGTTTAAAGTGCTGCACGGAGGAGTATCGGCGCTGATTGCGGAGTCGCTGGCGAGTATGGGCGCTCACGTCGCCTCCGGTTACCGGAGAGTGGCCGGAATCCATCTCAGCATCAACCACTTGAAGGCGGCGGAGGTCGGCGACGTCGTTTTGGCAGAAGCGACTCCGGTCTCCGTCGGCAAAACCATTCAGGCATCTCCTCTTCTTCTTCTCTCTGCTTTTCTTATCTTCTCACTTTTTATTATTATTATTATTATTATTTTAAAATTTAATATGAAGAATTGTATTTTCAAAATTAAATTAACTCAAATTACGAGTTTAGCCTAAGTATTGTTTGTTAGATATTTTAAAAAATTTACGCAGAAAACAAAGAGGTCAAAATTCTATTAGACACAAAATTTGATATTGTCTATAATAAATCATATAGATTTTATTATTTTTTCAAACTTAAGAATATAAGTACGATTTTTGTTTTAACCAGAATAGGAGTGATTTTTTTTGAGTTCGTGTATGATTTTAATTATCCTATTTTAGTAAAATTTCAAATTTTATATTCAAATGCGAGTTTTTTTTTTTTTGTTATTTATATGAATCGCACCGTTCTTAAAAAATGTTCACCCATGGTTCTAAATAGGATACAAAACCTTTTTTTCTCACTAGTTAAAGTTGTACTATTGCCATATTGGGAAAAGAAGAAAAAATTTTACATTCTAACGTTTCATTTATATAATCTATCAATTTTGAAAAGTTGGGAGACCATATAGAAAGAAAATTTTAAAATCTTAATTTTTAAAAAATTCTAGGTTAAATTATGATAGGATAATGTTCATCTCCAAATTTCATAAACTTTCAATTTAGTCTATGTATTCAAGTAAAATTTTTTTATTAATAGTCTATTGGAAATTAGCAAACTAATTAACACTATTCACCCTAGATTGAACCAAAATGCAAGGACTAAAATGCAAACTTAACACTATTTACTTAAGAAAAATTAGGCCATCAATAGAATTAAACCAAATTACAAGGACTAAAATGAAATGGCTGGATAATTGTGTAGGTATGGGATGTACGATTATGGAAGGGTGAGGGAGAAAGTAGAGTCTATATTTCCTCATCAAGGGTGACTCTCATATGCAATTTGTCTGTGCCAAAACATGCCCAAAATGCCGCTGATGCCCTCAAAAGGTTTGCAAAATTGTGATAAAATTATTGTACTATATAGTATATATCTATATTTATTATATTTCCCACTTTAGAGGGTTATTTTGTATTTTAACTTATACTAGAAATAAATCAATCATACTTTAGACCATCTTTCATTATGGAATCTTAAAACTAAAATTTTTACTTGAAAAGATCAAAAGTTTGAAAGTTATGGTATTGTCTTGTTGTTTCTAGTTTTTAGTTTTTGAAAATTATGCTTTCTTTGCCATTTTTGGTTATGTTCTTTTTTCTTTTTTAATCTTTTTAAAAATGTCTTTATATTATTATTCTTCATTTTTTTAGATAATATTTTGGTCCATATAATTATAGTTTTAATTCGTTTTAATCCATGCATTTTGTACTTTCGAAGTGTCTACTTTATCCCTATACATAAAAAAATAACTATTTTGGTCTCTTCATTTTTCTATGTCATTTATTTTGGTCAAGATTTTAATATGACACTACATTTTTTGAAATGTAGTCATAAATTTGTATTAAAATGTTTCCATTATATTAAAATTTTGTAACAAGGACCAAAATGATGTTTTGAAAGTAAAAAAATTAAATGAAATAAAAGTTGAAAGTAAAAAGACCAACAGTTTCACATTCTAACGTTTTATATCTATAATCTTTAAATTATAAAAATTGAGGGAGAAAATTTATTCTCATATAATTTTATAAAATGAATATGAAAGTTTGAGATTAAAATAGGATACAAGCTTTTTTAATTCGGTTAAGATATTAAAAAAAAATTAAAATTTAAACGCTCTAAAAGAAACTGATGTCTTTTCGTTCAGAAATTGGTACTATGGGTGGGTTAGTAACAAAATCCCACCAATTCGAATGCCGACGCCTTAATCATATAATCCAAAAAAAAAAGGACTAGGACTTTTTTTAAATTATATATAGTATTCGGATCAGTTTGCACATACCTAGACTTATCTCACAAGATAATTACCTAATCCTAATACATTTGGTTGTTAATGAAATACATAAAAAATTAATTCGTCCATTGTATCACATACAGCCAAACCTATGGACGGTTTTGGTCATATATTCTCTCTAACGTCTAGTAATAAATTCAAATATTATTTTTGTCTCTATACTTTATATTTAGATTTATTTTAGTCTTTATATTTTTAAAAAATCTATTTTGACCTCTGTACTTTCAACTTTTGTTCATTTTATACAATGTACCTTTAAAATGTGGCAATTTTGGTCTCTATTTGTAAATTGTTGACAAAAATTTTATGCACAATTGAATTCCTTATTAAAAATTTATGGCTATATTTCAATAAATTTTGTGAGTGAAGTGTCATGCTAGAATTATGATTGAAAGAAGTGAGATAAAAACAAAAATGAATGACTCAAAATGAACATTTTTTTTAAGTTCAAATACTAAAAATGACGTTTCAAAAATACATTGACTAAAATGAACAAAAGTTGAAAGTATAAAAATCAAAATAAATCAAAGCCAAAAGTACGCGACCAAAATAGTATTTAAAACCTAGATTATATGTATATAATATACATTTAAATATGGTCAAAATTTGAATTCAAATAATTACCTTCGAAAAATAAAAGAATTTTGGTGTCGTTTTGAGATTTAAATACGAGTAGGCTCCATTTAATATTTTGAACCTACTCCTGTGGGGATATACCACTCGAAGTGATGAATGAGTGAATGATAAATTTTTATGGCAATTAATTTCTACAATTCATAGTTTGATTATATATGTATTTATATTAATTCTTTTGTATGTGTGAGTGTTATTATTATAAAGCGTAAATTTCCTATCTCGAACGTGGAGTGTCGGTTCCGGCCGTCGATATAGTTACCTTAACCAGCTGACCTTACTTCGTAACCCAATAATCTTGTACTCTCGATCGGCTCGAACCACTACAATCCACGAGTAAATTCAAAGAAACTGTTCCCGAGCCAGGTTCCCTGGATGTCAGCCTTTCATTGGGTGTCTGATGAGACCAGAATCACGAAGATGTCGTCCGGACTGATAAACTATTCATACCAAAAGGATTATATCCATTGATAAGTTGTGAAGAGTTTAACCATAGATATCACGTAGGATTTGCCGCTTGAGCTTCTTCCTTACGTTGAAGCAGGGAAGCTGCCTCTCTTCGCCATTCGAAGTACTACCTCTCTGCCTTCCCTTTCGAAACATAATAGGTTTTGTCTAAATGGGAATGTTCGTACCGAAAAAATTTCGATATTCATCATAGATCTTCGAGAACACTCCAAGATAAAAAAACGTGCAATAAAAGAATTAGCACTCTGAAGATTTTGTCAATATCCTGCTATCTAGAAAGTTTTAAGAGTGGCCGAATTACGTAGATGGGTGTTCAGTTCGATATTTGTCCAAGCTGGTGCCATTAGTAGGCACGTTCCCCGGCTCTCTTTACTTAAAACATTTGATGACGTGTGAAAAATAAATATTAATCAGGGAGTTAAAATGAAAAAGTGATATAGAAAATAAGAAATCAATTGATTGTGGATTACATGTAGCATTCCAACTCTAGTTTCCATGAGTTCATATTTTTAATGGTTCAGATTTTTTAGTTTTCAATCTATTAAGATGAGTGGCCAAGAATTTTCTTTTTTTCTTTTTTCATTTTTTTTATTACTATGATTGGCTAAGATTTGTTTGCATGTATAATTTTTACTTTAATTTCTATGAGCTTGTTTACATCCAACGATTTATATTTTCATCACGCTATATTAACGGCCGGATCCAGGACACGTGGTGGGTAAAAGAAAAATAACAAAGGAAATAAGTCACCAACGGTCCAAAGCTCAAGCCCGAGTGCACATCTTCAGATGTTCATCGTAGCCGTTAATTCTTCCTACAACTCAAGCCAACGTACAAAGGAGAGAGTACAGAGAATGTGTACTCTCAGGCATGTGAACAAGGAAAAACCATAGACTTTTTGTCCTTTTCTGTGAAATTACTACGTTGCCCTGACATGCATTAAATACTTTCAGTACTTTCTCTCTCCTCTTCTTCATGACTGGCCACATCACAAACACTGTTATAATATTATTATGTTTCAATCTATTTAATACAGCCAACCATAAAAGAACACGTGTCTGAACGACTATATTTTTGCTTTTTCCTCCTTCAATTGGCAGAAAATATGTGGGAAAATGTGAAGAAAAATATACACTACTTTGATCAATTTTTACCATTCTTGAGCGATCTTTCAACTTGAAATTTATATATATATATATATTTATTTAATTTGAAATCATTTTTTTTATATAAATTTGGTAAATTTAATTTGCCTTTTTAAATTAACCACATCAAAGGAGATTTCTCACCAGTCACATAACACCTTTTGGTACAGTGATAATGGTGAGTTAGAGTGGAACTCAAATCTCATCCTTGAAGCCAAACCGACCTATATATTGTCTCAATCACTTGGTATACAAGCCAAGCTTAACTACCATCTTCCACCTTGGTCGTCTAAGCTACCCAACCGTGCTAATTAGAGGACACTTCTTCAGTTGATAACATATGAGACACACTCTACAACAACACGTCGTAATTATCGAGCTATCGGAGAGCCATTGGAGGCTTGTCGGAAACTTAGCCAATAAATAGAGACCTCGCCTCATTTTGATTAGGTATGCGAAAATATATTCTCTCTTGGTTATAGCTCGACCACACAATGACTTAGGCGTCAGAGTGCTTTCTCTTTTACAGGTCTCCTACTTGTCAGCTTCTCAGCTCACCAGTGGAGCCAGCACCCATCCGAGCTGAACTTCACAGATTTGGTCAGAATCCTGATCAAACAACTCACACAGACAATAAGTAATAACAACAAAATAAAAGAGTAAAAGAAGAGCCACGACATTAAAGATTTATAGAGATTTCGTTTTCACCACGGAAAAGAGGATTTGCAAAAAGAGATTTACACACAACACACCCTATTACCTTGTATTTCACTTCAAAGAATAAAAATTAATAATCTATTTGAGAATCACTCCCAAATTAATCCATTACGTCCTTTTTTATCACACCAATAATAATACTCATCATCAAAAAAAAAAAATAAATAAATGAGGAGATTCACCATTCACATAGCTCGAGCCCTGACGCAAATAAAATTATATATCCACCATATATAATAGACGCCACCCTTGAATCAAAGGGGACAAATACAAGTTAAATTAAAAATCTTGATACAACTCAACAAATTAAACAAACCCTTACTTAAGTATTAAGGAGAGTTTTTGAAGTAAAATAAGAAAAAGAATGCACTTTATACTCTACACCAACTTCTCTCTCCCCTTTCTCTTGAAGTTGCCAAGAGATGTCCATGCATACACAATATCTAGCTTTTGCCCTAATTTAAACAAAACCAGATCATCAAATCAAGAGATTATTATTATTATTATTATTATATATGTATTTATAAAGTGGAATAAAGTGGGGAAAATTTTGAGAGAGAGAATGAGGGCTTTGTTTTCAGATTCCTAAAAGGTAGACACAGCTTGAATGCACTGTGGAAGAAGGTTTCTTAGAAACTTTCCCCACCAGTCCTTTCCTTTCAAAGGGTTCTTCCCTGCCCAAAAGCTAACCAAGAAGATTTAAGACAGAGATAAAATTATTAAAAAAAAAAAAAAACCCTTTTAAAATTAGGGAAATTATTATTATTATAAGTTAAAAGTAGCATGAGGTGCATGAACCTTTTCTTAATAAGAAACAGTGAAAGGGAGAGATCAACAGCTTTCTATCATTCCCTTTGATTTGTTTAGTTTTCCTTTGCAATTTTCCAGTCATCGCAAAGTTGGCACTCTGCCATATGTTTCTAGGAATAATATTTCGGTGCTGACCGATTAACACCCATTTTCTGTGTTGACCGTCATTAAAATTTTGACGAACAGACAAGAAAAATCAGAAAGAGACATTAATATTCGTGGGGTTTAATGTGGGATCCTTAATATGTCTCTTTAAGATCATGGCTCTTTTGACTCATGATCTTGGCCCGATCCCATTTTTTAGATCGGATCATCGTTTGAACTTTTTGGCTTTGATACCATATTAATTATATTCATGAGGTTCCATTTCAAAACCAATTGACAATGAGACGAGTAGTCCATGTCTATTATAAACCTATGTAAGGTTGCTTCTTTTATCAACGTGAAATCTTTAACAAAAGTGATAATTTTTTTGTTTTTGAAAACATCAAACAAACGTTAGTCAGCTGAAAGGTTCATATTCTTTTTTTTTTCCTCCTTTTTACCTTCTCATCTATTTTTTTATTAGCTTTCCAAAAGCATAAAGTTTTTGACCCAAGTCATACATTTCAAGTACAATCAATCAAATTAACGCAAAGTGATAATAAAGACGATCAAACTAAACATATAGTTTAACCCTATATATATTAGATATTATGCAAACATATGAGATATGTTTCTTTAAAATAAGGTTTTTTTTTTTAATTTCTTGTAGGGTAGAGATTTGATTTGGATTCATCAATAATTATGTGTATAAGGAAAGTTGTTTGCATAGGGATTATTTAAACAAGAGTTAGGGCAGAATCCTCTGTGAAAAGCAAAAGAATACAAAGAACAAAGAAAAGTGATAAGAGAGAGCTTTGGTGAATCAAAAAGTAGAGGTCAATAATTTTTGTGCTTTTGGTCTCATTTTATTACATCTCAAAGCCTACCTACCCTTATCTAACAAGTCATGTCACTGCATCCTGGCCGTCCATTTCTTAGTAAAAGTTCTTCTAAAAAAAGTTAAATTACAAACTCGTTTCTTTTTTACTTTTAACGACGTCTATTTTAGTTTCTACTTTCAAAAGTGATCTTATCATTAACTTTGTTAGTTTAACACTTGCGTCACCAAAATACTTGAAACCTACGTGAAATCAGTCAAATTATGTGATTCTTAAATAATATGGTCAATGTATTAAAGTGTTAAATTCACAAGTTAATGATGACTTAATCTTTCAAATTCGTAAAATTGAAGTTGAACCTATTCTTTTTTAAAAAATACTTACCTCATGCTTGCATTGGAAGCATCCTATGCGCGCCCCAGGAAGTAGTCTAGTAGCGAATTGACATACGTCTCTGTACATTAAGTAGGAAGATAATATGCTCACACCTACCATGTCAATTTGCTATTGAACCACCTTCGCAACTTAAAGACATGAAGTAAGTATTCTTCAAGCTTTTTAACATATAGAGACGAAATAAAACACAACCTCGAAAATTCAGAACCTAATTAACAGGCAACCTCAAAAGTTGAGAGCGAAACATATAGTTTTGTTGGGGTTGAAAAGTGTGCAAATAAAATCTCACATTGTTTAGAAAAGGGTAGATAAAAACAATTATCTCTATCGATTTGAGATTTTTTGGATAAAACTAAAAACAAAGTTCGACAGTTATGTCAAAATGGACATTATTGTACATAATTTAACCCCAAAAAGAAAGAATTAAAAAGACCCCTCCAACAAGAATCCAACCTGGCTGAGAAGCAAATGAATACCCTCTTCTTCCACTATATAAACACACATCTCATCATTATTCTCTCCCACAACACTGTCACTCCACAGCCTAGTAAAAGCCAATTAAACCCACAAGCCCCGTCAAATTTTGGAGTGCTTTGGAGGGAAGTGCTTGTGTCTGAAGGTGGAAATTAAACTAAAAGAAGCAACTTTTGAAGTGCATGGGGGGAAGAAAATCTTCAAAGTGCTTTTCGATCTGCAGCATTTTGAAGAGCTGCTGCTTCCCAATGGGGGGGAGATCATCAGAGGATGGTGGGTATTGGGACGAAAGTGCAGAGATTAGAAGAAGGATGTGGCCAAGCGATGAAGACAGAGGGCGGTGGGTGGCAGAGCCTGGCATCGACCGCAAGGCTTCTGCTTTCATTGCCAGATTCTATGAAGCTCGAGTTTCTGACCCTCAACGCCAAACTTTTGCTGTTTAATTTCTCATCATCTTTTCATTAATGCCTCTCTCATCTTGATTTCTCTCCCTCTCTCTCTTATTTCCCTTGTAATCTTTCATTTTTATCAATAAAAGTGTTGGTTGGACGGTTACTCCATGGATTTAGATATCTTGCTTCTTCTGCTATCGAGTATTTGGGTTTGTTACTTGGAGCGTAGGTTCGATGATTTACTTCACGGGCGAGGAACTTAACGTGTGGTGGGTGTGTGTGAGTATTTTCTTGTATCGCAGTGGTTTCTTTCTTAATTATTTTGATGTTTTTGTAAATTTTGGATTTTCGACTAACAAATTCGATGATTTCTTAGAACATTTCATTTATGAGGATTAGTACGGATTATGAACTACACTGTCGAAATTCAAATGTCTCTATATGTCTAGTAAGGGTGAAACGATTTGGGGGCTCTCTTCGATTTTCGGGTAGAGAGAAGAAATCGAAACCAATTTAGTTAAGTAGATATAAAAACCAAACCGATCGAGTTTGGTTCAATATCGATTTTCTAAGTGAAATCAAATCTAATTGAATCGGATCGAACTGATTTAATGTTTCGGGGGGGGTCGTGACTCGTGAGAACGACGCATATTGAACCGGACCGAACCAAACCGATTAATTTTGGTTCGACTCATTCGTTTACTTAAATCAAATCAGTTCGATCTGGATCGGTTTGGTTTCTTATATCCTCCTACTATTCACAACCAACGAAAACATGACGGTTTCCAAGGCGGGTAGGAAAATTGTAGGGATATATAATATATAGCTTCTATTTATTCACAAAGTATTATTATGAGCGTGCAGTTGATTATATCCAAATATTCACAATCAAGAAATTAAAACACTGAATTCTTTTAGCGACTTTAAATCCCTCATCACCCCACAACTAAACTTTTCTCTTATGTGTCAGGAAATTTTGTATGAATCCTATCACCCACATTTTAGTTTATTTCGTCACATAAATAAACTATCAAATAGTTCATTCTAATTCACATTTTCACGACTGAGAAATATTAGATTCTCTTTCGAGAAGGTCATGAAAGGAGAAAAGAGAAAGTCGACACGTATCTATTTCTAAATATTCACCAAAATCACTAGTAGTATTCCAGCTCCAAAATGTCCAATGCAACAAAACTCTAAAACAAGCTACATATATGATGTAATTTATTTTACGTGCTCGGTTACGTATATGATGTAATTTATGTTACGTGCTCGGTTATAGACGAACATATTTTGTAAGAAAATTTCTTTTTATTGAATATATGGTACGAGAGTCCGTACCTAAAATCATCTCCCTGTGATTCCTTTGCCCTACTTTTTGTCAAAGTATAGTTCAAAATTAATCGTTGAGCATCTAAAGTAGGTTTGGAAAAGGAGAAAAAGGCAGTGGTTTTGTGTCATAGCTATTTTTCTTTGATTTAATTGTAATTTTTTCTTTATAGGTTCTTATATTATTTTCTTTAATTTTAGTAAATAATTTCTTCTCTTTATACTATATTGCTTCTCAAAGGACCACAAAGTGCAATGATGTTAATAAAGAATATGTAAAAGCTAGCAGCATTTCATCTTCTTAGAGGACGAGATCCATCCCAATCTACATCACAAAAGACGTATATATAGTACAATCTTAGAGAAATATTTCTAGTAAAAAGCGATACTTATGATCTCTTATATTCCCTTAAGATTTGTTTCGTAGCTTTTAAGATCTTTTGATAATTTGATTGTTGAAGATGTTGACACACACGATTGACCCTTTATATATTCTGTAAGGTCGAGTACGTGCGAGAGTGTGAGGTATTGAAGTGATTTCATCATAGTTTTGCAATATTCTTGGCTAGCTAGGTTTCCATGATAGGTGTACTGATCATTTTTGTTGAGAAAAGTTAATGAGTCTATCCCCCGAGAGCGGAAATAATTCCTATGAAAAAAAGTCTATTTAGTCAATACAAGTTTTCATGGGTTAATATGTACTTTCTTATATCGGGTTTAAACTTCATAATGACCATTTACCTTAAGAATTAATTCCTATGTGTTTTCCAATACTAAATGTTATGTTATAGGGTAAGAAGGATGATCCGTAAGATTAGTCAAGATGTACGTAAGCTGGCCCAAACATCCACAAATATAAAAAAAGTGTACTTTCTTACAATTTTTTTAAAACGAAAAAGTACTTCTTTCATCTACAAGGCTCTAACACCAGCCATATATAACATATGATTTTTATTTAAAGTAAAAGGGAGATGGACAAAATTAAGTGACAATATATAATTAAGCCAAAACGTGAAGAATTAGAAAATGTGTTAATCAATCAAACCAAGCCCTCGAGGCCCCGGTTTTTATGCTCGCAAGCATAAAGATGATGAATTGGAAGCGTAGAACTTTCGAATAAGTCATTTGATCAAAAGTATTGAAGTTTAATATATGTAAAATTTGTACTCTATAAGAATTTCACAATTCAAACTATAATCGAGATATAACCAGTCAACATAAGCATAACTTAACTGGTCAAAATCATTCTTACTTATACTACCCTCCTTTAAGATTATAGGTTCAAATATCCCACCTTATTGAACTCGAAAAACAAAACAAAACAAAAAACTCAAGATATAAACGTAACCCACATACTAAGTACAAATTTGATTCGTTAAACATGACTCGAAGCCGTATCGACCCTACCACTTTAAAGTTTAAACCCTTCTATAGGTAAACTAAAGTAGTCCCTTTGGTGAAAGATATATCTACAAATGCCCTACTAATGTGGAAGGAATAAAAGAGGTAGCAGCCAGAAATATATGAAGAGCCAATTATATATATATCATGTCAGGGATGAGAATGGTAACAGAAGAACCTAATTCCAATGCCATCCAGCTCAAAGCCTTAATTGGGGCTAACCAAAGCCTGCCCAAAGGCACCCCTAACAAATTAAAAAGCCTCTAAAAACTTAGAAAGCACAAAGTTTAGTGCTCAACAAGACTCACCCCATTTCCTATTTTTGTACCCAAAAAAATACATCCTTTCAGTGCCATTAAAGAGATATTGCAGTCAAATCTTTAATTTGTTTTGATTCATAACGTTCGTTTTGATATTTTTATTTTTATCTCGTTTCTTTCGATTGTAATTTTAGCATAACACTCCAAATCATTTAAAAGAAAATTACAAAATTGAAACCGACATTTTGAAAGTAATTAAGAGGCTAAAATTAAAAAAAAAATTGAAAAATGGAGACCAAACATGTAGTCTAGAAAGTGTAGGGCTTAAATATTATTAAAATAAAGTCTCTATTTCTCTTTCTTTTCCCTAGGCTGTCTATATGGAAGGAGATGAATGGTTTTGAATAAGTTGGATATGTATAGTATATAGTTATAAAGTGAACTTTTATTTTATTTTTTCCCTCCTTTTCGTACATATAAAACTGGTGGCTATAATTTAATTTTGTGCATGTGTTTTTGCCTAATATACCTACCTATAACACCTTATCTTCCCTACTTTGATATTTGATGTTCGTAAATGAAATTGAAATATATATCACACCTACTGCTCTACTTCTACGAGAGAATAAAACTAATTTGGTATTCGTATGTCTTTGCTTATCTTGTACGAACATGCTTGCATTTTTTCTAAGAGTTTAGTATGCGTTTTCCAGCTGATCCGATCGCTCGGGGTATTGAACAACTAAACGTGGTTTGAATTAATACTTTTCTTTTTTTTAGTATATAGTACTATAATTTAGAGGGGAATAAATCTTTATAATTTGTAAAAAAGTAGTGTGTGTGTATATATATATATATATATTCATTTACAAGGAATATTACCAATAATTAAGTAGGAGACAAAAAAGAATAATAATTTCCCTCTAATAGAATTTAGGTTGATCAGGTTGTCTTTACTAATGTTGTGCAAACATGCTTGCATTGTGATTTTGTAAAATTTTATCATATTTCTTCAATAAGCCTTCCACCTTAAGGACATGATTTGGGAACAAAATATTATGAGATGGAATTTACTTTTGGAAGTATATAAAAGGTAGTTTCTTGATTTCATCCTTATAACTTCATCTTCTCTCATTGGCTTGGGCTGCTTAACATGACCTTAGTAAATTTATGATTAGATCATGAATAGATTGTTCATTGCTAGATAATTATGGTTACGTAAAAAAAATTAATTACAAGGGTAGAGATGGATATTTTGTCAAATTTTAATTTCTTCTTTTTAAAAGGAAATATTGTACCATTCATTTAAAAGGTATGTGAGAAAAATACCACAAGGAGAGGCTAAATACTTCAGTTTAAAGAGGTAGAGATATCATAATTATAAAAGAAGGTTCATTTGATGGATCAAGAGAAAGCAGTCGTCTTAATATCATCACATGAAGTGTCTGCAGATCTATATTTATCTAAGAAAAGACGGTTATTTCTAGGGATGGCAAACAAACCCGTCGGACACAATCCCCACGGGACCCGACCCGATTGGTTCTGGGAATCCCCGATTTGACTGGGGACGGGGTCAAACCGAGGATCCTAATTGGGGTCCCTGACAGGGACGGTGCGAGGACGGGGAGGATTCCCAGCCCCGTTTAATATTTTATTTTATTTTCTATTTTTTATATAATAATATTAATATATATAAATTTTATAAATACTTTTTTAAACTTAAAAAAAAAACTCAAGCTAATAGCCCAATTAACCATTTTTTCTTGACTTCTTATACTACTAATAAAAAATTAATTAAAAATTTTAAAAATAAAATACAAAATTATAAAAAAATATATATTTTAACGGGGGCGGGGATTCTTCGATCGGGGACGTCCCCGCCCCCAAAATTTCTGGGATGGGGAAAAAGTCCCCAACGGGGCTGGGATGGGAATGGCCCCCCCGCCCCGTTTTCATCCCTAGTTATTTCTCTCATGCCAGATAAACCAAAGGATAGAGCAAAACTCATTGCACCAAAGTACATTTCTACTGTTTGAGAGAGGTGTATTTCTGCATTCTCGAACAAAGACATCGACACTGTCGTGAAGGCTAAAGGATATATTGAAAATCTTGAAAAAGCTCTGCCAAAAGGATGTTGAGTAAGGACAGTGGAGAAATAGATGATCCATAGAGTTCCTACTTTGATTGCAGAGAGTGCATCGACTTGGATTTAAACACATAGTAGAAAGTCTAATTTCAAAACCACTTGGAAAGGAGTCCTCTGGAATGGTGCAACCGCGAGAGCCTGGAGTTTTGTGATATCACCT